AATGCTCCATCAGCCTAAATGTCTCCGCTCGTGGTTCAGGGTGATGCCCTAAGCAGCTCTGAGCCTGCCTTGCCACTGGCGGAGGTAAGGTGTCCTGTCCCACTTCTGTCCCATCCCACCACAGCAAAGCTCAAGCCTTCTACATAGGAAGACACTGAAAATTAAGAGCTGGGGAACAGGTTTGAAGCTATTGTGGCATACGTACAGTGCAAGTAAGTAACCTTGGCTGTGTTTTAGGGACTGCTGCTCTCATGAGCTGAGCGATTGTTGGGGACCAAACTCACAGAAACTGAAATCAAACAGCTGTTTCGTAGGGAAAACTGGGTCCTGGTAGAAGCGTTCTGTTTTTATTGCCTTTTACAGCGGAGCTTTGGAGAAGCAGTTATGGTATCAAGCCATCACTCTGATCTTTTTTAAAAAAAAAAAAAAATCAGATTAAAGAAAAGCAAACCAGAACTCCCCAAATACAAACTAGGTAATGGAAACATTGCTGCTGGTCTGCAAGACTTTCTCTGAGAACAAGATACCTCCTCGTGATGCTGCAGCTGGGAGAAAGGCACTTGGGGAATTGCAAAACTTAGTCTGTGGGGCACAGAAACCAAGCAAGTGTATAGGCACAAGTTGCACAGCACTGCAGCGCATCGAGCTGGGATATTGCTGAGCTGTTTATGTGGTACCAGCACAACAGACTGGTTCTTTGCTATTCCCTCTTAATATTGATGTTGTTGACGTGGGTGGCCTGTTGGAAAAAACACCCCCTGCTTTATTTCTTGCATTGCTATGTGCCTATAATCTCTTTATTTCCTTGCCGTTCATGTAGAAAACAAGGGAGCAGAGAAGGAGGCAGGGACCCGGAGCTGCCCGACGTGTGTGAAGATGAAGCTACGTCCTGAAGCCACCTGGCTGTTGCAGGCTGGTCGCTCACGTGCTGTCGCTGTTGTACCCATCGTGGTGTTGTGTGGCACACATCTGCTCTCATCACCAAGTCCAGGGCCTGCAAATCAAAGAAGAAAAAAAAAAAAAAAAAAAAAGAAAAACCAAACAGACCAACGCAGAAAACCAGAGAAGAGGAACAGAGCAGCAATAAGGAGAAGAGCGAGTCCTCGGGCAGCGCGGCTGGCAGAGGGCTGGCTCGGCCTCGTGGGCGGCTGCGTTCCTTGTGCGAGGTGTCCGTGCGCTCCTCCGTGTGTGCCTTGCTCTCCACTTGTGCTTCACGTGTGGGCTTTGTAGTTGGGTGTTTTGGCCGATGAATGTGGTTTTATTTGTAACGCAGCAAACCAAACGTTGTCTCATGGGTCGTTCGCCCTGGAGACCTTTTCCTTGCTTTTTTGCATTCTCTATTTCAAGCATCGGGGGGGAAAAAGATTGCCTCGGAGCTAGGTTTTATATCAGAGGGCAACTGTTTTATTCAATGCACAGGTAAAGCACTTCTGAATTCCAGGACACATCCTGCTCTATTGGAGTTGACAGCAAAATTTCTATGGGTATCGGTTAAATGGGGATGAGATCTTCCTTTTGGAGTGAGCACTGTCACTCTCTATGGCCTTTCTTTCTTTTTTTTTCCTTCTCTTCTTAGCCCTCAGTTTTGCACAGTGTAAATCCTGCCAGCATTGATGGCTTTAGTCAAGGTGGTGTTGTAAAATAGAAGAACTACACAGTATTCTCTGTAATGTGCAATGAGCCTTTGAACGTCGTAGGGATCTGGAGCGTTGGGATATGCTGTTACACAGAAAGGCTTAGTGCGCCGAGGACATCAGCTAACCAAGCGTGCTCTTCCCAAAGAGCTGGGATTGCGCTCCATCAGCTGCACACGGTCCTCTGCACACAGACCTTGTTCTCAGAGGTGAAAAGAAGCGGCAGGTTTTGGGTTTATTTTATTTAAGGGTGATTTCCTTTCCCTTGCTCATCTCTTCGCTCCTTTAAAATTATGTACCTGATGCTTTTAAACTTTAATTTCCTGATAAATGACCCAAACTGGGAGAGCTCCTTAAGATGGAAGATGTTGGTGGAGGGTTTCTAGACTAAGGAAAGCTACAGAACACAAATGAGGTCAAAACTTGATCTTTTGGATTTTTTTTAAGGCTTTAATTTTTTAATTTTGTTTTAAGACTGTAATTTTTATGCACGTGCGGATGCTGCTATTTTATCCATAGATTGCTTCTAAACTTGGGATTAGAAGCCTCATCTGTACAGTTTGACAACAGGTGAGAGATTGCACTTAAAAGGGCAAATGCAGCTATTTCAGTGGCTGTTGACTATACGGACTGTGTGTATAATCAGGAATTTCACTCTTGCACTCGGAGAGTAAAAACCAGTGACATCAATCCGTCAAAATACATGTCAATATTTTCTCTTGAGCTTTATGGGGTCTGAACATACCCCTGGGAAGCCAATGGGATTGGATTCTTATTTTATAGTACTTAAATAAAGGACACGATTAAATTTGGTTCCTACATAATCATCTTACTGTCTTTTTTTTTAGGTTAATCCTGAGGGCTTGGGACTTTGTCCCCTGATTTTTTGTGTGCAGAGATACATGTACAAGGATTGTTGGTAGCAACTGGTATACTGGTGTTCCCGTTCTGTTTACTGCAATCTAGTTTGGTTGTTCCCAATGTTTTTCTAACTGGGCTTTGCTGCTGGTGCCTTCTGCTCCCCGTCCCCAGCCTGCCGCCTTCCCTTGCTCGTCTTCAGCCACCTCGGTGGGACGCCCAGAAGCAGTCGCCAGCCTGGGCTCTGCCCCACGTCTCGCCTGTAAATATTGGCAAATTGGGAAATAGTATTGCAGTTAATGTATTTTATTAAGGAGACCTTTAATTTTTAAAGCGGGCAAAGGGATTATATCCTGTAAAGGTTACTGCTCTGAGCCTGTGCTCTGCATCGCTCGCATCCAGATGGTGAATCCTGCCTGCATTTGTGTGTCTGCCTGCACCAACTGTGCGCTCAGCATCCTCCGAGGATCCTCCATCCATCCTCTGTGGTTCTGCTTCGGCTGCGCGCCACGGTACGTCCCGCGGGTTGGCACGCTCGAGCGCGTGCTTGGACCCTGCTGCCTCGTCGTGAAGATTTAAGCACCCGGTGAAAGGGAGTGGAAATGGAGACGGGGACTTGGCAAGGCTGAGAGTGCAGCGGGGGCTCTGCAGACGTGGGAGGAGGGACTGGCCAGGAGGAACCGCTGCCTGCGGAGGGGATGGTCTCCGGCTGCAAACTGGTCTGTGCTGGGGACAAAGCGCTGGGGTGCCACCACATCCTGCTGTGCACCAGGGGCCGAGCTGAGCAGCCCCGGGGGAATGGTAGGAGCAAACTGTCTGTCCTCCGGTTTGCGGAAAAATGGGCTCCCTCCCGCTGGTGTCCCCGGGGCTGGCCGTGGTGCAGCTCTGCTGCAGCAGGGCCGGGCTGCCGGCGGCGGGGAGGACGGCTGCGATGCTGGGTGAACCCCTAACCTGCACAGGGGGGTGACCTCGGGACAAGGACATGTCCTGAGAATTCGCCTTACCCCTGAGAAAAAAAGGGAGCACCGGTAATTCTTACCCCCATGGCTCTTCTGAGGTCTAAGTAATACTTGGGTGGTGCTCAAAGAGCTCTAAGACTGCAAACGTGGAGTTATCTATTGTATTTTTTAATATATGGTAAGAATAATTTAGGGATGGAGAGACACTTTGCTAATCCAGCCAGTTGTTGGGGTTATTCTAGTAATGCCCAAGGGGGTGGGAGCTAGCGGGACGAGGCTGCAGGAAAGCTGCTCTCAGCCTCAATTAATGCGACCAAACAAATAATCCTTTACAAATTAGCTCTATGTCATGTTCCTGCAGCGGTAGCTGGGATGCCGCTTCAGTTTTGGAGGGGAATGGGGGAAATGGGTGTTTTTTATGATTCTCCCAAAATCTACTGTGAAAAAATTTGCCCTTTTTGCTGAAGGAAATCCTTCTGGAGCTGTTTCCACAGGTCCAGAGAGCAACCAGAATTGTACAGCTGGGCTTGTCTCATGCCTTGTTCCTCCAGCAAATCTCCCAGCCTTGTGGATCTTTCCTTTATACCTCCAGAAACCATCCGTATCGCATCGCAGACAACAGCCTGAAAAATTGCATGAAAGGGAATGAAAAATGTGCACTAGCAGCAAGAGAAACGCTCGGATTTACTCGAAGGCTTATAGGACTCCTGCAAAAATACACTGTACTTCTCACTTAGCTGAAATGAAATCCTTGCTCGTTTATGTGCGTGTTAGGGCAGCTCGGAGCAACGCTATGGAGAAAGGAAGAGACTAAAGAGATAGTATTTATTTGAAGATAAACATCTCCGACAAGCCAGTCCTTTTATCCATTCAAGAAAGTCATTTTCTCTAGCTGGATGGCTAAATATGTCTCGCTTCTCTCTGTGAATGAAGGGGTGCGGGTCGGCGTGGCAGGGCTCCTCCGAGCAGCGAGAAGAGCTGGCGTAGGCGCGCTCCGATGCTTTTGTACACGCTCTGTATTTTTCCTCGCTTGCCCGTGCTGTTCCTGGAGCACGGGCATCCTGTGAGAAGAGATACCGGGATGCTCTGAGCTGCGTTACCTGGGCTCTGCCTCCCGGGAGGGCTCCTCTTGCCCCACGGCGTGATGGCACGGTCGGCTCTGGTCAGCTTTGGTTGGCTTTTCCAGCACGGGGACGGGCCCAGATTGAGAGACCTTGAAGGAAATTTCTCATTTGGGGAAATCGCGTGTCTTTTTGATCTCCAGGGGGTAGATTTCTCTCTGTCTTGCTCAATTAATACCTCTAGGCCTTCAGTTCGGGAGCTAGTGCTAAGTAAAAATCCTGGTTTAGTCTCTCCTGAGTGGCACGGAGGAATACAGCAGGGAATGTCTTTAACCCCTGGGGCAGGAATACGTCGCTGTGAATGTCACCCTTGCACATAGATGAGGTTTTCAGCTCTTCAGGGATACATTGCAGCATGGGGATGGATGCACGGAGAACCACCCACGGCGTTTATAAAGCCGCCGCCTCCAGCTGTGCCGGTGCAGGGGCTCTGCTTTGGGCGGTGGTTTTCCCAGTGAAGTATCCATGAGAAATCGCAGCGTGGGCAGCCGTGGTGTAGCCACCAGTAACTCATGCTCACGGGAGAAACTAAAGCAGCAGTAAGTGTGACTGGGCTGCGATTACCTGTTATTTTTTCAGTGCCTTGAGACACAAGAAGTAAAAGCTGGACAGTAAAAGTCTGGGCTTTCTGAAAGATCAAGCGCCACACGTGTCTGCGACATGTTTGTCATCATTTCGAGGGTGGATAAGTCAGGCCGGTCCTTTGCTGGTCATGGTGGCATCAGTTACGTGTCTTGTTCGTGTGATGTCTGGGCCAACACCTCCTGCCTGGATGGGGGTTCATTTTTTGCAGGTTAGAGAAATCTTTGAGTTTCAGAGCTGAAAGTGCACCTGGGGATTCGTGCCGAGGGAGCGCTGCAGGTCGGTTGCAGGTTTGCAGGCGTGGGGGGCTGCAGCCTGTCTCGGTATCTTCTCCTTGCGCGTCCCCTGTGATGCACCCTGGGACACGCACCTGATCAGTACAGGGTCTCTGGCGAGCCCAGCAGAGTCCTGCCGCTGTGCCCCATTCTGTGCCTGCCTGTCCCCTTCGGCAGGTCTTCATCTCCCCTCCTACGTGCCAGAATTTGGCCAAGGCAAGCACGATGGTGCAAAACCCACTGAGGCTAAAAACACGCCCGGTTCCTTGCTGCGTGGCGTTGCTAACCCAAGCTGCGTTGTTTGGGGGCCCTAGGGAGGATGGTTTGTCAAATGCTGCCCGGGAAAGTATTGCTGGGGAATAAAACGGGGAAGGCGGGAGCAGCCGGTGGTCGGGCAGCGCCAGGGTTGGTCACGGGAAAGCTGATTTTGTGTGCGGCCGCGTCCGAAGGGAGCCCGGCGGGGG